ACAGCAGTGAAACTGCGCCACCCTGCTGTCACTGCAGGTGTTCGGGGGAGAGCATGGCGAGGACGCCCCCGCCCTGCCCCATTGTAAACGGATCTTGTGAAAGCAAATGGGAGCAGCACTGCTTGTGTGGGCTGTGAAGTGTGAGGAGTGCGGTCTGGTGAAAAACACAGGAAAAGTGAAAACCGACTCGGGGTCTAACGCGTGCTCTGTTCTGGAAATCGAGGCACGTCGCTGCTAGGCAAGAATACAGCTGTGGCGTTTCCTCCCGGGGCCCAGCACTGCCAGCGCGCTTCCTCACACCCTGTGGCCAACACGGCCACGGAAGGGACCCGCTGCCTGGGACGAAGGGATCGGCGGGGACCACAGCATCGGCGGGCTGGCGCTCTGAGGCCGGGCGCTCACACTGTAAATCTCACTCTCGCCAGCGGGAGAGGCTGAGTGGCTGTATCGTCCGAGCAGGGACATGTGGGGTTAGATGCCCGAGCTCCGCAGCCCCATGTCCCGTTCTGACAGTGGTCCCCAGGGCCCGCCAGGGCCGACAGAGGAGCTGCCTTCTGTGACGGCCTCCGCGAGGCAGTCTTCGCCCACACAACTCCTCTGCTTGTTCAGGCACAGAGGTTGTGACCTACACAAGTTCACACAGGATAGTGGCTGGCAGAGGCCAACGCTCTGAAAAGTGGAAGGCCAGGCAATTTCACAGACATCTAAACAACTTAGTAAAAAGTGGGGACTTTGGGGGCTGAAAATTGAAATGAAATGGCATGATGTTACTCAGCTAAAACAAAAGAAAGCTCCTTACTCTAGAACAGAACAGCTTCCTGCTAGTTGCGGGTAACAAAAATTATAGGGTGAGAGGCGAGGACCACATACGGGGTGGGGCAGAGGAGGCTCACAGTTGTGAGAATGCGAAACATAGAGTTATTCTTGGACTATTATTAATTATTGTATTATTTTCCATACGAACAACTGTAAACCTACTATTGCCCCACCCTGTATACATATATTTCCAACTTAAGAAGATACTGGGAAGGAAATATTCACACACGAATGAAAACTTTGTGCCCATGTACCAGATATTAGTCCACGTATGGAATGACTTTTCTAAAGATTAAAATTATGGGAACCAACTAACCAGCCCTGAAGAAGCGCTCTTCTGTATAAACTAAAACACCCAGGCGTGGCATTGCCTGACTCCTAATTCCTAAACTGGAGTAAAACCAACCGTTACCTAAAGCTCAACTGAAGAAGTTCTAATCTAACTACATCTTTTTGCTTTTAAAATGACACCCTCCAAACCTAGTCTACGATGTCTTTTAAAATCTCGGTGACATATGGCGACAGGCGTCAGCACAGGCCACAGTGCATGACAAAAGGTAAGTTACGAGAGACGCTACTTCACACGTTTACACTAAGGAACTGCACGCGCGCAGGTGTGCACAGGGGTGTAGACCCATGATTTCAGCCTGTAGTTGATGCGCCAGTGCCACCAGAGGTAACCTTACAGTCTCAGCTGTGACATGAAATAAAAACAGAGTGACACCCGGACAATACAAGTATTATGACGATAGCACATATAGCCTCCCACAGCCGACAGCAATCTAGTCTGGCCTCTCCCACTACGAAGCAAGGGCCATTTGACTTGTTCTACCCTTTCTTTTTTTACCTGAATGGTAAGAATAAAGACACATTATCTCAAGATACATATACACACAGAATTTTAAAAACTTCATGACATGGTGACTGTCGGGCAGTTCAGGGAAAAATGACACAGAGGGAAGGTGTGTTTCAGTGGAAAGTCTTTGCTGATGCTGTGGTCCCCGGTCCCCAAGGGGTTTTCCACCCAAATCAGGGACAGGAGCTCAGAAACATTTTGGGGGGGAGGGGAGTGGGTTAACAAACCAAACCAATGCCTCTCTTCCTATCGAGTCCAAACGTTTCGGGGAATTTGGAGCAGATTTTCTTCCTGGAAGCAGCCTCCTCTACTCCAGGGCGGAACCCGTGTGTTTTGCAGCACAGGGCTACAAGCCGCTTAAATGGGCTCGAGTTCTAAGAAAATGCTCACATTTTCTAAATGTACTAAAAGCTAGATAAATTTAGTAAATGCCACCGTCTCCAAGCTCAGGGCCGGTGTTGAGGGTACAGACGGAGATTTCTGTGATTCTGGGCTGACTAGTCCAAGAGGCCCAAACTGGGCGATTTCTCNGTTCTAAGAAAATGCTCACATTTTCTAAATGTACTAAAAGCTAGATAAATTTAGTAAATGCCACCGTCTCCAAGCTCAGGGCCGGTGTTGAGGGTACAGACGGAGATTTCTGTGATTCTGGGCTGACTAGTCCAAGAAGCCCAAACTGGGCGATTTCTTGNCCAAACTGGGCGATTTCTCGTCAGGAACCCCACGCTGCTGCCCTTCACCCAGGCCCGGGGCCCCCCACGGCCGCGACCTAACTCCTGACCCCCCAGGCCGGCCGTTAGCTGCGCCCCGCCGACGGTCACAGCTCGCATCGGGCCTATGCCCCCCATTGACCACCTTTTTCTCGATTTCCCACTGAGACGTCAACTGTTCACCTATAAACGATGGTGAGTAAGAGGCACGGCGAGGAAGTCACACAGGAGGAGAGGAAACCGAGCGCGGCGCTGCTGGGTGGCACCGCTGCTGGGTGGCACCGCTGCTGGGTGGCACCGGCCCCTCGCTATGACCCGTGGTCACCTATTAAATGAAACCGCTGCTCTACAGGGCCGCCCGGGAGCGCTTTCCCTTTGCTCCGGAGCTGTAACTCTTTTGTTAACATAATACATTGTTGGCAAGTCTCTCCCTTCCCCCTTAAAAAATCTACCCAGCCCTCAATTTTTCTCTACCCTGCGAAGGTTTTCAGTGTCGCAGGACCTACCCCACTTGCTCCTGCCCTATTTGTGAGCAAGAAAAGCTTCCAAACATTCTTGAAAGGTCAGCAACTCCAAAACCACGACACTAAATGATTTAAACTTCCCAAGCGAAGCCCACCAGCCCGAGCGCGCGCCCGCAGCGCAGGAGGGGCACGCGCGGGGCCACGCGCTGGAGGGAGCCCGACACACACGCACACAGACGCGGGATCGTCCGAGAACAGTCCCCGCCGCGCTCTCCAAAGCGGTGCGAAAACACAGCCGCGGGGAGCCCAGGCCGGCGGGCGGGGTCCGGCGCGTGGGCGCGCACAG